CCAAGCAAGATTAATGTAGAGTTTGTGTCTTCTCTTACACATACATGTCCACCCCATTATTTAATTGATCCTGTAATTCTACTCTTCGAAATTATTTCATTTGCCTGATAAATTCGTTGATTGGGTACACATTTAGAATGACATGCAAATGTGTATATTTTCTTATTTTATAAAGAATAGATGTTTCGACATTAAAGACATTAATAAAAATAAAAAGAAGATTATGTAATGAGAAATTACTCACATTTTCAAACAAAAAGTTTGCGTTACAATTGACACTAGTTGTATACATTAAAGCAATTTAAATTGATTTCAATAAACATGCCGACGAATATTTTGAATTTGACATATAAGTCATCGGCTTTCATGTTATGGTTTTTACTCATTTTAATTAATTGCTTTTGTTTTCCATATTTCAGTTTCATTTTTCACCTACTCGTGATAATATGCTTAAAAATTAAAGCATTCCAATGACTAATACACATGAGGCAGTTATGAAATTGCATAATTCATGTAAATTGTATTGCGCAGTTGAACTATTCTCTTACTCAATACATAAATAGTGAATAATAACCATCTGTTTACTTTCAATAAATTTCATAGTAAGCCAAACCGTTTTGCAACTTGCTTACTTCATGTGGTCGATGGCAAGAGAGTAGTGATCAAGATTGATTTCGGAAGCTCTGATGTCAACGAAAAAATTCATACCGTGTTCATGTATCAACCTTATTCAGATTAGAAAAATTCTAAAAACATATAGACATATGAGCTTTCATTTCTTGAGTTATGATTGGATTTACTGAATTTTCAAATTTATACGAGGTATTTATACCAAAAACATATGACCAAATTCCAAAATGAAAATGTTATTTATACATGAATCTAACCACTCTTAGAGTGGCTTCAAAATTTTAGTCAAAAATGAATGTTTTCTTTACAAAATACGCGATTTTCAAAAGCCTTTATATTTTTCATAATCTTTTAATTGAGTATTTCATGAAAAAAGACAATCGTTTTGACTGAAACTTTGGGAATGTTCTAAGTAGAGTTATAGATTTAATTATGAGCAAAATTTAATCTCAAAACTTGACATTTTGATTTAGGTGTAGATGTGGATTAATGATTAAAACTTACACACATATACGCACCCACATCCTCATTCTTCATAGAACGAGGTTAAAAAATTTAGAAAAAGTCAAAGCAAATTGAGGAAACTAATCTTTGAATATTTCATTTGTTACAAATTTTTGAAATAATTCATGTTATTCTTTTTATTAAAAGAAAATATGTTTATTGTTTTAGCTCTTTGTCTTTGGATTTCAATAACGCGAGATATTTCAATTTTATTCACTATGTTAAAGATCTAGCTTGAATTTTTTTATATTTCTAACTGCATTTTAAAACAATTATGCTTGGATCACCTTTAATTATAGTGAGAACTGTTGTCATGATGAATTACATCACTCAAACATATAGAAAGATTAATCAACGATAAAATATTTTATTTCAAATTTGTAGAAACATCTTTCCGAGTTCATAGATCCTGCCTTAAGCTTGTCAATCAGTAAGTCAGCTAAATCAGTTCTTTGGACGGTAGTCACTTTGCTAACTATCACTGCTAAAATTGCAAACAAGGACAGCTTGAAATTCATTGAATAGTGGAACAGTTCAAACGTTCACTATTATTAATGTTTTTCACTAAATCATCTGTTTCATTTCATATTCATGCTTGATTGTTGATACTTAACGTAGAAAAGAATATTGAATTAATTAAGACGTATTTCTTGGCACTGATGTCATAAGTAAGCACACAGACACTGAGCAAATGTCTCTAATAGCGACACTAAAAAAATAACGTATCTTGATTGATGTGTTTCTTCACTATTTTACACTCGATTGAAAATATTTTTATAAATGCATGATTTTGGGTGTACCTTCTTTCAAGTGATGTAACAAGCACCCTTTACTGAAATGTAATGGTCAAGAAATCAGTCGTCTACGATAATGACCTGCTTCTGTTTTTGTTCGGACGCATTTGCCTAATAACGATAGACAGCTAATTTTTGACCTTAATCATAATGATCAACTATTTGTTGATTTGAAAAATAAAACTAGAATAGTTTTTGACTCCAACAGAGATACATAATAAGCAATACAATTTAGAAGAATCGATTTATAATACATCTATTTAAAATCATCACATACAGTTTATGACAAGCTTGACGACGCACTTTGTGCTTGTAGCCAAATTTGCTTTTGTTATAAAGTATTCTTTTGCAGATGATGTTTATAATATGAATCAGATTTGTAAGCCTATATTCTTTTTTTAATTTGCAATAAAAGATGACCGATCAGGTCCTATCAGTACAACATTTAAAGAAAGAGAATACAAAGTTAGCGTTAATGATTAATACCTATGACAAACAGTAAGTTTTGAAACGAACGACGTCATTACACAGATTTTAACACACACAAAACAAGTTATATTCGGATTATTGGAGTCTTCTTTTTAGTTTACTCATTTACTACACATATGGTACATCTTTCTCTTCTTATAAATTATTAACCGAATACAGTCAGAAGACACTCATTTACTCACAAGGTCTCAGGGAAGGAAACAAATAAGGAAATCTCGTTCATATCATAGTAGGGAATTGACTCATTGGAGGTATTATCCCTACACCACAAACTCATTTTTCCAAGACCGAAACATAATCTACAAATCGCTTAGACATTCACAATTCTCTTACACTTATCTCACTAACTCTCCACATAGTTCCATATGAATTCAAATTCGCCTGTTCAAGAAGTCACCTTCCATCAATTGACTCTGACAAAGCAAAAAAGTATCTTTCCCACTAGACTGCGCATCTGTTCTCCAACGATTTTTCATTGAATACAAACGCATAAAACAGATCATCCCATTCTAAATGAAATGGTATACATTTTAAACATGTAACATAAAAGTACGATACGTTGTTTCTTTATTTAACAGTGAAGAGTGAAAAGATCGCAAATAACCGTGTAGACAGCGGTAAGATAAAGCATGAAAGCAAAGCTCTTCAAAGTTCAAATGAAGTTGTATTAGGGTGTGGGTGTGCGTTTGTTGTCTGCAGTAAAAGAAGATTCACACCCATACCCTTTGTGGATGTTTGTGACAATTACGTTCTTTTACATTCGTTGCTTATAATGTAAATTGAATTTTAAAAAGCTGAAATTACATTCTTTTTCTCCCGTTCTGTTTAGTAGAATGTGAAATTTTATTTTCATCCAACGTTGCGAAAACAACTTCTGTATATTTGCTTACAAAATAAGGTGATTTTGGTTTACTTTGATCAGTTCTCTTCATTTTTTCATATAAGACGTCTCAGTAATAATGACTTCATACTCCTCAAATAACAATAACCAGCGAATTATTTGGCTCTACCAGTCCGATCCAAGATCAGTCGATAGTAAAGAAAGAGGAGAATGGAAGTGTTACTCGAACTTTGAATCAGATTACATCGAAGAAGCTTATTGTCGTCATGAAGAAAATGTTCATGTGAATGATTATATTATTGATTTGAAAAGCAAAATTCAATTTCAGAAAGATAAGAAAGAGCGTGACGCATCTGTGAAACAGTTGACAGAAAAAGTTACGTTCGTAATGAAAGATTTTCTTCTAACACTGAACGACCAACACCTAAATCCTTTACTCCAGGTCGAGAATGGTACAAGGCTCCATTGCTTGATGAATGACGCAATAAAAACGTGACGATACGAGATAATTCATCTGCTGTTGCTGAACTAGCTGCACAAGGTAACTAAGAAGACGTTCTCATTCATAATTGATTTTCAAAATTCTGTATCTCTTTCTTTAGGCATTTTAATCGAAGGTAAACTACTAAACAAAGAAATCGGTGCATAGCGAATGGCTGTTCAACTCAGAAATTGTGAAGAAAACAAAGAAGAAATATTCAAATGTGCTGTTCGTATCTATTCAGCTGCGTCGTTTCTTTTTGCTTTATTAAATGAGAGTTTGAGAAATGAAGATGTCAGTAAATCACATACTCTGGGTCCAATCACTTGGTTGTTGAACAATCATATTGCCCAGAACAGTGTAATATATGGCGAACAGTTTATTGTCTACCGTGGGGCAACACTGACTGAAGAAATGATTAGCGAGTATATAGAAGCAGTTGGGAAGCAAATTGTTTGGAAGGGATTCACGTCGACGTCAAAAAGTCGTGCTGTAGCTGAAATGTTCTGTGGAAATGCACTGTTCATCATTGAAGTTAAGGAAAGTTCTTTTCAACGTAGACGTGATATTTCGTCTATCTCGCTCTATCCCGATGAAGAGGAAGTAATTTTGACCGCTAATTTTGTATTTAAAGTTGAAAAAGTTGAACTGGACAAAACGGCAGATCATGAAAAATATGCAATATATATGACTGGAAGTGGTTTTTAAGTTGTAATCAACCAATCTACAGAAGGCTGCGGATTGTGAGTGTGGGTGTGGATAAAAAGCAGATAAAGTAAATAACGCTCGTCCATGTGACTCGCTTGGCCCTTGACTAAATATTCGGCTCCTTTACTGTTATATACTGCTTCGTGGTCTTCAACAAAGCTAGTAACTAACGTTCCAAAAGAGTGAATAGGTGTGTAGAAATTTATTTCAGCGTCAGTTTCGTTATCCATAATGATATGCAGATCCGTGTGATCATTTTTGTCATCGATTCATCTAATCAAACTGATATCCACACATTAATACTGAACTGAAATTTAAAGAACTACACTATGACAGCAGTATCAGCACGCATTCAAAACAAGAGATTACATTTCATTTTTTGAGAGATCACAAAGCAAAACGCGCCATACTTTTAAAATTTCTGCTAGAAAACTGGTATGCTTATCAGCACATCTGCTAACAATATTGTTTACTGGAGCGTCTGCTAGAAAAATAGGATCTTAGCTACGCTTCTAGCTTAAAAAAATCATATTACAGCTGATCTGGAATCAGAATGCCATGCTTGAAAGAAGCTCGTACTACGGGTATTTATTAGAATAAAAAAATAATGTAACTATGTCTGTATGCATTTTCACGTGTGAATAAATGTAGACAATAACATACACTAACACAAAAACTTTCTTTTGTTTCATTCATATCTAATTCCGATACAGCGAATATGAATTCCTTGAGTGATGTTGTTCGTCATATGAATTAATCAAATTTTGTGTACCTATAGAAAAGCCGTTTTCACACTTAATTTCAAAATATTTCTCAGTTCTTAGCCACTGTTAGTCCCTATTCAAACTCAGTAGATCTCAACTGTTAACTTTTATTCGATGAATTGCAACAATTCGAAACGGCTCTTGATAAAATTTTTGCAGTGCAGCGACTAGCCGCTCTTACGTATAATTTTATTCTTCCGTAACTCCATCCTGTTTAATGTACACTCCACCTGATCCCAGGGTCAACTTCGAAAACGCTTGAAGTTTAGAGTTCGACGAGAACTCTAAATGGAAGCTTTGTTGTGAACTATTCATGATTTCCTCGATTACATTGTCTAACTGGAAAATTAGAATTGTATTAAAACTTCTCGTTAAGAAAATCTTAATGCCATATTTGCAAAAATTTAGCATTTACACAGATCTTTTGTTAGGTGAATTTGCAACAGGTTTTCAATATGAATGACTGGCGGTTCGTCGGCGCTTCTATGGGACGCCTATCACGACTGGTCACACCTTTTACACCAATGTACTTAAGCAATAATTGTTCATTGCCCATTGAATATAAAACAAATGATATCATTTCATGTCTTTTTATATTACTTTCTTCAACTTATACCCGTTAGGAATAGCATGAGTGAAGGGTATGGGTGTGTGAGTAGGTGTTTCTGTTATCTAAACTCACACCCACACCCACACCTACACCCTCACCCTCACCCACACCCGATTCCAGAGTGTACTCACTTTTTGAGTACACAAAAAACTTAATCTTAAGAATATATCTTGATCAAAATTCAGTGGGATATAAGAAAATTTGACTAGCTTGACATACAGATATTTCATAGCGCGTTGCAAATGCCGTCAAGCAGAGAATGATTTTTATTCTGCTTCAAGAAATAATTTCATACTGCGTCATTCTTCTTTGTAACGCATCATGATGAGAATATTTTTTATGTTTATTCCAATGTCAATAATGACTCATTGAATAAAAAGCATACAAGAAGAACGAAACAAGGTTACACTATGATAATAATAAAAACGTGGTTGTTTCATTTTGGCAGTATATACACATCCATCATTTTCTTTCTTGGTAGTCGTAGTGAAGCATGAGTTCATCAGAAAATTTCGAAACGGTGTCCAGGTCAACAGATTCTACCTCTATCAATGTTTCGACATCAGAAGTATGCTAATCTCTATAAAGTACAGGGTGGTCCATAAGTCAGGTAACAAAGTATTTGTAAGACTTCTCCTTTATTATCTCTGTGATTAAAACACCCTTTTATTATCAAAAGATAGCGCTTGAAATTCTCTACAAAATCGTACATATGACTAAGCCCAAAAACTGTTTTAAATATATTTAAGAAAATATGAAAAGTAAAGACATACACAAAGTTGTGTGTGTGTGTGTGGGGTGTGGGTGTAGATGTGGGTGGGGTGTGGTTGTGAGTGTGTGGGTGTGGGTTTGGGTGTGGGTGTGGGTGTGGGTGTGGGTTTGGGTGTGGGTGTGGGTGTGGGTGTGGGTGTGGGTGTGGGTGTGGGTGTGGGTGAAGAAAATGTACACGCTCACACCCACAGCAACACCCTTTTGTTTTCTTAATAGAACGAAATGATTGATTAAAAAAATGGGATCCAAAGCGTGATCATTCATTAAGCTCAACCCGCTACTTTTACAACTTTGTGTATGTCTTTACTTTTCATCTTTTCTTAAATATATTTAAAACAGTTTTTGGGCTTAGTCATATGTACGATTTTGTAGAGAATTTCAAGCGCTATCTTTTGATAATAAAAGGATGTTTCAATCATAGAGATAAGAGAGGAGAATACTTTGTTATCTGACTTATGAGCCACCCTGTATATGAACGGTTTTCATTATAGGAAAGGATTATTCATTTGTAGGACGAGTCTATTCGCAATGAAAATAAACCGAATTTACCCAGTCAACCAAGTGTCGGTAAGTTATGAACCATATTGAAAATTTAGTCTTTTAAGAACGAACTATTTTTACAGGAATATTCGTTATTGATACAAATATTAGTGATAAAGCTTTGTTACCTGATCCTGCTGACACGGATATGTCTACTGGTGAAAGTCCGATGCAGTGTAAGTAGGAAAGATCATTGCAAATACAAAATTAATCTATTTCCTTTTTCAGCTGAAAATGTCAATACCAATACAGAAATACTTGAAAATGATCATACAGAAATAAAATCTTCTACACCGATTGGTAAGCAGAAAAATAATTCAAAAGTCGACGTATAAAAAAAAGCATATTTATTTGACTCTATTAAAAGGTGAACCTCAAACTCAAACATCTGGTACGACTGATCAAATAACACCAACACACAACACATCAAGACCATATATCATGATAAGCTATCATCGTAAATCATCATTCGACACTTGTCAAAGAATCTGTACTCAACTTAGAGTGAATATAAAATTATCTTAATTGTATAATTTTTTTCTAATCTTTTTTTATTGATAGAGTCGAGGTTATAACGTGTGGATGGACGAAGATGATTTAAACGGAAATATACTCTACGAAGAATTAGCTCTAGCAATTGAAAATGCTAGCATTGTACTTATCTGTTTCAATCGACAATATGCTGAGAGTGACTTTTGTCGAAAAGGTGACCCATTTTGAATATCTAAATAAAAGTCTATTATAATTTGATTGTATATATTTTAGAAGCTTGCTATACTGTGAGATGCGGTATTGATTACATACCATGCCGTATGGAAGCACCTTTTCGTGCTCGAGGTTGGCTTGGAATCATAATTAGTGATCATCTGTATTGTGATTTTTCTTCGCCAAATGAATTCAACAATGATTTTGAACGATTATTTCGTCAAATTAGACATATCGAGGCAAACTCCAGTAAGTAGGAATGTCTTTTACTGTTTTTACTAGAGTAGTTTGATTTGTTTCATTGGAAAAATAGATTATTATGGTTCTGCTGAAGGATTAATAGACATCGTTAGATACATAAATTATCATATTTCTCAAAATACGTTCTAGGTTTTCATTTTTGATGAATGACTTTTTACGATGGGAATTTCCACTGTTTAACTATTTATGTTATGAAAATCTAAAAAGGTCCTCCAGTAAATTTAATATCACATTACAAATTTTAAGTAGTTAAACATCATCAAAGAACTCGAGTCATAGTACTCTCTAAAAAAAATGAGTTTTCCAGAACCCTCCAAAAAGGTTCTGTAGATTTCTAAAATACTCCAAATGTGTCCAAAGTCTCAAAAACAGGATAAAAAATTCGACAGAATCTTTTGCAGGTTCTGTAGAGCAAAAAAAGGTTTCGTGAGAAAATACGAAATTTTGAGGGTTCTGTACAAAACCATTAGCGTTTCATGAGAAACCCTAATGATTCCGTACTGAGGCCTCATGGTTTTGTACAGAACCAGCTCTACAGAACCTAAAAAAAGCTTCTGCACGAGATGGTTTTGCTAGTGGGTACTACACAGAACCTGCAAAAGGTTCGGCCGAATTCTTTATCCTTTTTTTGAGACTTTGGACACATTTGGAGTCTTTTAGAAATCTACAGACCTTTTTAGAGGGTTCTGCAAAACTCCCCTTTTTTAGAGAGTACTCTTTTTTTGGTCCAACAAATTTATTTTAAGTTTCATAAAAAGAATCTAGTTAAATGGTTGTTGCTTAATTCAGTTTTATTTCATCAAGTCTATATATAGTTCCTATGACGAGTACGCAGTATGGATAGAGAACCGTCAGTTAAGAGTACTGAACGAAACATAGAATAAATCAGGCAAATATAAAAATAGTATAGACACATTAGAAATAAACGCGACAGAATAATAGGCAGCACAAAAACCATTTACTTGGAGCAAAGTTCAACATTTTTGGCAATATTTTCAAAATGCTTTTTGTTGTAAAATAATATCGAAAAGAAAAGTTTTATTAGTTTGAAAAACTACAGAAAATGAATACTACGAAAAACATCGACGTTCTCTTCAAAGTGGACACTTTGGAAGATTTCCTTAGGTACTCCCATTAGGGAGGCGTTAAATTGTAATTGTAATTATATAGAATAGGTGAATTTCATTACCTTTTCTTTTTGTGTATAGTTTAGAAAAAAAACTTATTCGATACGATTTCAATTTTTCTTCAAAAGGCCTTTATACTTTTCAATGGTTTTAATCTTTATTGAGTGTATATGGAAATAGAAAACTTAAAAATTGAACATTCTAACGTAAATAAACGACGAAGATTAATTATGTATTTACGAAAATGAAATGACTATTCAGTGCAGAGATGGAACCGGTCTGGATTTTTGAAGACCGGTACCGGTACCGGTCTAAACAGGTCAGACCGGACCGGACCGGCCTTTTACCAATATAAATTCTATCTTTTCGATAGTGATAGTTTATGCAATCGACTTCCACCGAAATTTTCATATGTATTCTGTACAAGATAGCATCAAGATTTCGCAGATTTAACTAGTTTATGCAATAAAACCAGGAAAGAAAAAAGATAGACCGGTCTACCGGTTACCGGCCGGTCTGAAATCCGTACCGGTACTGGACCGGAGCGGACCGGCCGGTAACCGGTGCCGGTTCCATCTCTGATTCAGTGATTATCTTTTATATTCTGTTGCAAAAGACGCTAATGTCGTTATCTATTCATCGTTGAACAGTGAATAGTAACATATTCTATCTTAATAACTTCTATTTACAAACATTTAGCACTTTCGATAATTTATCATAAATTCAGAAGTCATGTTTTCAAGAACGATCGTACTTCTTATTGCTTCTGTCTTTCAGAATCAAACAGCACGACAACGAATACATGCGTTGCATTGTCTCCTGTACCTAGTATTTCGGTTAATAATCGAAATATCCATGGATTTCTCAGAACTATTATTCGTATATTCAGAGAAACAATAAATCAAACTGATAATCCTTCAGTAATGATTACACAAGAGGAATTTCCAATGTTTATTAATTTTATTTGTCAACATGTTTTCGATGAGTATCCATCTACATCAACAACTGATAATAACAATTCTCAACAGCAACAAATAAATAATCGATCATTATTTCATGAAATTCTCATAAATTCATCTAATCAAACAGAATTTCTAACAAATATTGCTGAAATTCTTGCAACTATAACTGAGCCAACAACGATCATCAAGTTATACTTAGTCTGGATGTTTTGTCAAATGATAAGGGAATTTCTCTAAAACTGATGATCGAAAAAAATTTTAATCTGTGTAGCTTTGCTTTTTATTCCTGTAAAATATTTCTTTTGTCTCAAATACAACAGGATGTGAATGTGAGTGTAGGTATGGGTAATTATTTTAGTACCCATACCCACTCGCCCACGCACATTCACACTCACATCTACATTCCAATTCACACTCAATAAATAGTACGTTATCTAAATCTGCACAGAAATTCTTTTATTTTATGAGCTTCCTATTCATGATATTATGAATTTAGAATATTTTCTCTAAAGTACCCAATAAACTATTTACTACTGTGTTTAGATTAATACAATTCAAGAAAGTTGACATGTCAGTTCGATCTTTGTAACAGAAATCAACGTATTCATAGGAAAAACTGAATAATTGAATAGGTGGCAAAAGATCGAAAGTCAAAACGTCGAAAAGCAAAACATCGAAAATAATTTTTTCGAAAGTCTTAATAATAAAGTAGAAGCCACAGATTTTGCCCTCACCCACACTATCGGACTGTACGTTCATTGTCCTTTTGTGGTTTGTTCATCAAAGACTTGAGTAAGATCCGGATATTGTGGCTACAGAGTTTGTAATTTTCGATATTTTGCTTTTCGACGTTTTGACTTTCGATCTTTTGACACTTTCCCGAATAATTTCTCCTTAGAAATGATATAGAAAGCTTTTTTACATGAGTATTTTTATATATGTCAGTTTATGTACAATAGGAACAGCATGTTGATTTCTGTTTGAACTCGAGAAACTTTGGAAAAAAAAAGGTGAGTTATGTTGAAGCAAAGAATGAATAAAACTGCTGCTAAATATGGTAACAACATTTTCAAACCTATCTTCGTGCGAGAAGAAAATGCATTATACGAATTCAGATTTATCCTTATCATCTGATCCTGTTTTATGTAGTAAGAGACATAACTTTGTAATCTATACTGAATATGTAAAGATCAAAAAGAAAACTATACATATTATATTGTGAATACATTTTTTGTTCGATTTCTAGTGAAACAATTTTTTGATATGGTACCAACTAACCGTCATTAACAAAATATAAAATTAGCCACATTATATTACACTTCATGTATACAAACTTTACATTTTCATTTGTCAGTTATTGAATCATGATACTCACAAAAAGGTATATATAGCCGACACTTTCTAATATGCAAGATATTCGCATAGTCAACTTAATTGAGTTTATACAAACTGAACTTAATTTCGATGAATTAACTTATCATTTTCAGCTTGACTTCAATCTTTAATATAAAATCAAACTCGAATGATTTGTATTTGATACATGTCCATCGATGTTCCAATGATATGTGATGCTTTTCTGATTTAGTTAACTTTCACTGAATTTCTCACTAATAGAAAATTTATGATGATATATTTTGCTGTGTAAGAGTAATAAAGAATTTAAAATAGTGCTATCTTTCGAACACATTGTTGATTTTCGACAAGGATTAATCGAAATGTTTCAGGTCAGTCTGAAATCTACCCACAGTACTTTCTCAAAAATGAATCAGTGATGATTATCTTAGTTAATATTTTAGAGTAGTTCGCGCATTATTATTAGAAATTTAACATGACGTTGGTCACTAATTAGTCTTGAAGTATTCGTCATATGTCAAATATCATTGAGTCGTATGTTCAAACTCAATCTTCATATCATTGCTTTTATTCTGGACTACTCTGAATGCAGGACATATCTTGCAAAAATGACCAGTCAATTAAGATACAGAAGACTTGCGTCAGATTAGACTTTCTGTACTAGTCGTGTTGATTGTTCTTACTTATGAAATCATCATATATCTGAATCGATCAAATATGTTTTTATTTCCACACAACATCTTTCAGATACTCTATAATTATTTAGATAGAAAGCTCAAAGGAATGTCTATTTCATCTTGAAACTTTGCGAAACAACACTAGGAAACGTATTACCGAGGATATTGACAATTCTTTATTATAATTAAAGCATTTTTATTATAATAAAACTACTCTATTCGATTAACCAAATGAAATTTTACTTCTTATTTGTCGTTACTTATCATCATTTGATGTTCTTTATTCGATTTATACACCTGAAAAACTTGAAACACGTTTACATTGCTCAGTAACTGGTTATTATGCAGAAATAAAACTTGATACAATGTCATCTGATGATTCTAAAAATCTCTTCGACCTGATTCATTCATATTCAGTAATAAACATATAACTTGTTTAGCAGAACAATATTTTACTCATTCTCTTAAGAATCTCAATCGATCAAAATTCATCATTTTGAAACGTCTTATATTAATCAAGTGTTCTACAAATGAAATTCAACTAATTGATAGAAACTATATTGATGGTCTAATATGACTTGAACATTTTCATATTAATGTTCATAAGTATAACAAAGTTTTAAGTAAGTTAATTTCATCATTCCTCGATTAATAAGTTAGTGAGAATAAATAAGAAACTAAACCGATATTTTTAATCGATAGTTTCCCAAGAACCATGTGATGAATCGATTGATCGAATATTATTCCATAAAATGTTTTCATCCTTACACACGGTTAAGATTGAATTACTAGAGTGACTTTCATTGTATCACTCTTTAGTATCTCAGGAAAATCTTCGTCACATAGAAATTATTTTAAAAACAATTGATAATTTATATATATTATTCGATGGGCTTATACCAAATGTTTAATCACCAATTGTTCATTTAACTCAAACACGTATTTTAAGTAAGTTTATTTATATATCATCTACCGGTGAGACCTCTGTATAATATGTATCATCGAAACTCTTCAAAAACAGTTCACTGTAATAAGCTCAAAGAAAAAAAATAAACTATTTGTTTCAAATGTTGTAGATGTCTAATCATTTTTGTTGAAGAGAACATCGATCTTTGTCTATTGAATTAGTTTCGAATTAGATGAATGATAAATAAAGAATGCATTTGTAGTTGCTGAAAGATAGTAGATGCGATTAATTGACTGAGTGTATTGTGCTGAAAAGTTTGACTTGTATTTTAATCTGTCATTTACGACGGATCTATTCGTTACCAATTATTCAGTGATATTGTTTCATTGAGCGATTTTTCTTGTAATGGTCAGACAGTTGATGCATGAATGTGTTCATTGTGTGAAGGTTTTCTTTGACTAATGAATCCGATATATTATTCATTGACTAGAATTGAACGGTGTTCGTTGTATAGAAATCTATTTTTAGCAAGAATCCATTAAACAAAACAAGATGTGCATTGAAATAAGATAAATTCATGCATATAATACAGAATTATTCTTATTATAAGTTTTTAACAGCAATATGCATACTATAGGATTGTCGAGAGAACCATCTTAATCGATTGTAATCTTTCGATTTCATTTTTACATTATAAGTAGGCTTCAATTAAAAAAAGATTAGCATTTTTAAATGTACTAAAAGAATTTTTATTTTTTTCAAATGAAATATACACTCAAACCGACACTTAAAAATTAGTTACAACTTCCGAAACTTCCTCTTCAAGATAATTTTTTACAATTACTTGCTCTGGATATACATGAAGATTAAAACATTCATTCAAATCACGCTTAAAATAATTAATATGTAGGTTTAGATGCTAGTGGATGGGAACACTTGGACGAGAGGAAGACAGATATCGAACGGTCCTAAAAGTTTTAAATGAGGTCGATGCATACTTTTAAAATTAGGAGAAACATGCATAGAATAATATTTATTTGAAGAATTTGAACATAATAGTGAAATAATGAAATGTCCTCGTGCCATCATGAAGGATGAATATATTATCGTTTTCTTTTGTTGTTGCTTCTAGACGCCAAATAATTCAAAATGTCCTTTTCAGAATCATAGCTTTAAAAGAAATGTAATCTATTAAGATAGAAGTCTGTGAAAATAGGAAAATACCAATATGAAACAGTTTCAAAAATAAACATATTTACTGTATCATGTCGTAAACAATTAATTAAATGTGCTACTCCATCATGTTGAACTGCATTTCCTGAAAGCTCCAATGTGGTTGTGTCTAAATGATTTGAAAAAAAGATTATGTAATACATGTTCATAAAGAATGAAAGTTACATTATTATTTTGCAATGCATCTACGAGATATTGTACAACCAAGATCCCTGATTCCACCATATCCAAGATTCAGTGTGATGAGTGTCTATGTGCAGGACAGAAAACTAGTGTGAAAGTGATAGATCAAGAACTATAATAACTGTTTGATGTCGTAACGCATTGACCAGATATAGTGCTCCTTTGTCTTAGATGGCATTAAATTTTAGGTTTAATGTTAAAAGTGTCTTTGTAAACATAAAACAATAAATATGCTTCAGATGAAGAATAATTTAGGGATACTCTATTGTTTTGCAAGGTTTCAGCGATATGTTTTACTCCTTTTGCAGTTATTTCACAATTGTTAAGAGAGAGAGTCGTTATTGTCTGCATAGACGGGAAACTTTATATATGGAACAAATGAAAAGAAACGAAAGCTAACTTTGTTCCCTTGTAGGACATGAGCGAGATCTTGAACTCCAATATCTTCAATTTTGTTCTCACCAAGATCCAATGTAGTGAGAGTCTAAATTCATAATAAAACCAAACTAATTGAGAAGAATGAGATGAAATATTAACTATTTTATTAGATCGCAATGCATTAGCAAGATGTTGTGCTCCAACTGATTTAAATTTGTTTTTCCGAGGATTTAACGTAGTGACAGTCTTCATGCGACAATGTAACGAAATTTAGAATAACTAGACTTATTAATCTAAATTACCATATTATTTCGCAAGATATCAGCAACAATTTTTGCATGAATATCTTCGATAGAAGTATTCTCAAGATCAAGATTCGTGAGTGTCTATATGAATAGAATAGGATGAATAGGCAAGTTACGTATGAAGACTAATATTCACAATAACATATTCTGATAAATCAAATAGGTAATGCGTCTCAATAGTTCGAATGAAGTGATACTTAAAGTTTGATGTGACAAGTGCCTGTAAGAAAAACAAAAAATAAATGAATATGAAGAACATAAAAGAGTAATAAGTATTACTTTAATATTCCGAAAAGAGTTTACCAGACGTTTTTCTTCTATATATATCGGTGTAGAAAGCTTCAGTGTACCGATTGTCTAGATAAATAAGAGAAAGGTAAGTAAGAGAAAGATGAAAAATTAATTGCCGAGTTACTTTGTTATTTTGCATTTCTCGGGCTATATCAATAGATTTATCATCGTGATTAGTAACATTATTATCGATCAGCTTGTCAAAGGTCTATTTAAATAGCAGATTATTGATATGTAAATAATAAGGATAGAATAAAGCTAGCCAAGTCTTTTGATTTATCAAAGTAACGTCTCTGTAAATGTTCACTATATTTTCCAAAAACTAATCTCGAATTTAGTCAGTGTCTGAGTCAAGAAAAATATTTGAATATAACACAAGTGATCAACGTAGAGAGATCACTGTATTTTTTTGGAATTTATCAAATAAATACTGAGCTCCAGCAGCCTCTATGTGATTATTGCTAAGATCCAATGTGACGAGGGTCTGTAGAAAGCAAAAAGACAAATGAATATGTAAAACATAAGAAGAAGAAAGAAAGTATGTCACTGTATTATTTCCTAATGCATTGGCAATACTCTGAGTACCATTGTCATCAATCAAATGATCAGATAAATCTATGATCATCAGTGTCTATGTAGACGGAGTAAAACAGTACATCATAAGTTACGAGAAAAAAATTCACTATATTTTTGTCAATGACTTTAGCAAGATATTGTGCACCAACGGTGGAAATCAAGCAGCCTCGAAGAATCAATGTTGTGATTGTCTATATAGAGGAAAAGCTACATATGAAGGTAACAGTAAAATAGTATTAATGACTGCATTATTTTGCAAAGTATCAGCAAGATGCTGTATTCCTTCATTGAGTATGAGATTTTAAGAAAGATAGGGTGTGGGTGTGAATGTCGATATTGATCGATGTGGCTTCGCGGCTCTCTTATATGCTACACCAACACACATACAGCCACACGTACAGCCACACCCACACCCACACCCTCAAGATTAGATCGAACAACTCAATGATATTTTTTAAATTACTGAGTTCTTACCTCTGTAAACATGCGTGATTAAATATATTTAGATTGATATTCATATCTATGTTCAACTATAAATCTACTAAATCTTTCAAACACGAGTTAGATTATGAAGTTAAACTCTTATTTTTCTACTTAAAGCAGAGTCTACCTTCTTATGATCACTAGCAGCTTTTCTAGGGCATTGCTCATTAAGAAAAGCAAGCATATTTAGATCAAATCATCATAACTACTATCAAAGCTGACAAATTTATAATATAATATTTTCAAAACAAACCTGAAATAATGGATTTTTTAAAAATTCATATTAGAATTTATCGATCGCATTAGTTTCATCAAAGCCTACTGTCACAAAAAATATTTTCTGAATTGATTCTGTCTTTGAAATTTCATTGTGAAGCGTATATATGGAAAATAAAGTATTCAGGATGTGTTTTTAAAAAGTATGCAAATCCATAAAGCAGAAAGCCAAAACCTAGCAAACTAGCAGCACCTGATATCTTAGTGTCATGTGGAGCAATTTCTGCATATTTTTCCAGTAACCATGTGACGAACATTGTTCCGCCAATAGCTTGAACAAATGGTAATTCAAGTAATGGGCCCATTAACATTGCTATTAATCCACTGGAAAATGCAATAAATTGTAGCAACCAAAATAGAAGTAGATTGTTATCCATTTTCGTATACCATCGAGAACTGAGAATAATCAATCCAATAAAATAGACAAATGTTCCTAAAAATAACAACGGCCGAGTAAATGGAATTGTTAATATATTTGAATATTTTTGTAAGTGTAAAAAACTTCCAATAAGAATTAAAACACATGACGCTATTATACCACTTGGAATAGCTTTTTTATCGTGAAAACCAATCATAATAACTAATTCGCCAGCAATTATAACAAAGCCTAATGATGTTTCTAAAGCCATAATAGCTAAATAACCAGCTTCACGATGTTGTTGATAAATAGCTACAATACTGCAAACAAAAAAATAGATCCAAGATGCTACTAAATCAGCATGACGAAATTGCGAAAAATGAAATTTTGTTGTATAGGACAGTGTTGCTAAAAATGTCAGACAACCTAAAAATATTAACCATGAATTATGAACTAATATTATTAAACAAATTGATAGAATAAAAAAGAATATTTTCCAAACAAAAGATGGTATATTACGTAGTATTGGAAGTGTTATAATACTTATTAATACTATTAATGCTATAACAACGGTTATGCCAGCTAGTATAGCTAACACATTTGAAAATGATATAATTAATTGTCGTTGTTTCCATGTCATCAATTCTTCTTCAGTTAATAATTGTTGACGTCCAGCTAATTTTGATGCATGCTCAATGGATAATTGTTTTTCTGTAGTAGAAGTATTTGTATTTAAAATACCACGTTGTTCTAAATTTTTAATAAAATTATAATATTGTTTGAGTTCATTAATTGATTGTGGCAATCCATCATTAGAATTATTGTTCGATGCGGCGATGTTTGATAAATATAGAATACTAATTGTAATTATTATTCTGTAGAGTTTCGTCATAGTTATAAACATTGAAGAAGAAAGTGTTTGTCGATGCTGCTTGTAAAAAGACGGTTGAAAAAGAGATGGTTATGTTTAATGAAAGAAGAAAAAAAATGGTTGTTCTGTGCAATTTTGTCAGCCAATGCAGAAAGAATAAGAAGAAACATTGTAATGCTGCAAAACAAATAAATACATGATTCATTGAGTAACTGGATGAGACTTTTTTGAAACATATTAACATGAGATTTGGACAGAAACAATTACGGCAAACAAAAAGGAATTTAAATGATGAAAAACACATTGCCGTTGGTTAATAAAAGTCCTTCATGCTGCTTTGCTCGAGAATATGGGTATATGATTGAAAGTAGTTGTGAGTTAGCATATGTTTGCCCATATCCTGGAGCGGTTTAAGCATGATGATGTTAAGTAAAGAAATAAGATCAAGATTTGACTTTATGCACTATTTGAATATCCTTCTCAGATAGTATATGAAGGTGTTGACGGATAGAAGTATGAATATCAGCATGAATGACAACTCACGAGAGAACATCCCCAAGTGCCACGAGACTTATTAAGGGAGACTATGGCCATCTTGTAGTACTCAATGAGTGTAGTTCAGGGTTAAATGCGTTCATCTCCATGATCATCTTTTGAAGAGTTGCGACAATCCTACATATACGAAAATCACAGGAAAATTCTTCTTATTACAATGCGAACTGAATAAGATTCATCATTCAGAATGATTTATTTGATCGAGATAACTGATTATTTCGATGAAGGGTTAGCTAGTAATAGATCAAATTAAACGTATTCATCTTTTCTTTAACGTTGACACATGAATAGGTCGAGAAAATCATGATAAAGCGCCAAAGTCATTGCAAACAATTTTTACGAAGAGAATCATCTCAGAGAAACAAGTCTTATTATCTTGATCTTTCATCTATTTCTTTTCTGCTGACACCTTTCAAACAACATATGAACGATTACATCTGACGAAAATGATACTGAAGAAAAAAATGTTCAAAGCACAGGAGTTGTCGACAGTGACTACAATTAATAAATGAACTCTCTGGACAATGCCTGATGGAACAATTGTCATCATCGAAAGAGAAACATAATTCGATAACATTATAAAAATTTGAATGTTGCCGTGAAATATAACCACACTTCGACCAAGCAAACGAAATCATCGGTCAAAAAAGTGAGGAAATTAATTGATTGTGCACTAGACTTTGCAATTTCATAACGGAATCACGATTTCGTAGATCGATGTCCAATTGATCAATAGGTACACGATGATAACAACGTTTCGCCATATCTTTCCATTGTCTAAAAAAGTATGTATCGCAAGCTTGATTGGTGGCTGTCCTTCTGCCCGGAATCACCATTTATTACAGAATTGGCCCTTGACTAGGGATGTACCAATCCCAATTCTAACCAATTCCAATTCCAATTCTTGGCTTGAAATTGACGGAATTGGTACGAATTGTTTGGAATCGAAATTGGAAGGAATTGGTTTGAGTCGGCTAAAAATTGTATGAAATTGGTCTGAAACTGGCTAGGATTCGGCTTGAGCTGGCTATAATTCATATGGAGACCTAAGATTTGTTATGGAATTGGCCTGACATTGCCTCGAATTGCACCCTATTGCCTACAATTCTTATGGAATCCGAGAAATTGTTCTGAAACTGACTCGAATTGAGCAGAATCATGTACAATTCCTAGGATTCTATCAGAACTGTGCTCAGTCCCAGTCGAAAGCCGATCTGAGTCAGTTTCAGACCAATTTCTTGAATACCATACGAATTGTAGACAATAGGGTGCGATTCGAGACAATTTCAGGTAAATACCAAAACAATTCTTAGGACTCCATATGAGTTATAGCCAGCTCAAGCCAATTTTAGTCAGTTTCAGAACAATTTCACACCGCTTTTTGTGATTTCATACAATTTTTAGCCGACTTCTACGAATTCCAATTCCTCTGATTCCAATTCCAATTCTGACCAATTTCAATTCCATTTCCAACCAATTCTTACCAATTCCAATTCCAACAATTCTAAGAATTGGAATTGATTGGGATTGGAATTGGTGCATCCCTACTCTTGACTAAATTTTGTTCGTATTTTTCAATGTTAGTTTGACGAGATCATTGGTCGACCAGTAATAGAAATCTATTGCTTGTTACTTTGTCGAAAACTTCTCTGTTCCAGTACTCGATCAATGGACCATTTAACTTTGGGTGTGGGTGTGGGGTGTGAGTGGATGTGGGTGTGGGTGTAAGTAAAGAGCGAAAACATACTCACACACCCACACCCTTTAATAACGAAAAAAAATGGTTTCCGGAAAAATTTGACAACGTGAATCGTTTGCAGAAACTCACGAACTTTAGAAAAAGTTCCAGCCAAACGATCACAATATTTGTCAGAAATTAATAGAAAAACTTGATGCATGTGGAGAGGGTTTGAGGATTGAACTTTTACTATGCTAGACGATGATCATTTTGTGCGAAAACGTTAACAATGAATAATCGATGACTCGATAAAATAAATGAAGACAATGAATGTTGTGTGGATAAGAAGCTTTTAGGTGCATGAACTGATAGTATCTCATGATCATTTGTTTCAACAAGACGTACGATGACTTTTGGAAAATTAAGTGTAGTTTTAAACCAAGATAAAACTAATGCCAATTTCAAAAAAAAGGTGAGTGAGTATTGTTTTGAATAACTTTTGAAGGAAATGACATAAGTAGCTGCGGTTTTCACCATTGGAAAGAGGCGATGAAGTTGCGTCGAACCATATACAAAAAGACTTTTCTGATTACTTTTCTAAGAGTCTTATGCAAAGTTCATAGAAAACCAACATGCTTCATGTGGTCGCGATATTGATTTATTTATTTTCAGGGGTGCACTATAACCGCTAATCGAAGAACTACAAAACTGCATAAAGATTCTATTCCTAGTCGCAACCAATAAGATATCCTAGACATTGAAATGCAACCTATCACGCCATTTTTCCAAGAAAATAAATGAAAAATATATATTTTTCTTGTATTTTGATACAGAAATTCTTTTCTTTTTAAACATATGAGAAAAAGTAATTCTTTGAGAAAGCTTGACTAAAACTATTAGAAAAGTAGTCAGAAAGATCTTTTGGTATATGGTTCGACACGTCGTCATCGTTTCTTTCCAATGGTGAAAACTGCAGCTCTTTATGTTGTTCTCTTCAAAAATTATTCAAAAAAAATACCCACCCACCTTTTTTTGAAATGGGCATTGGTATAGGTCAAAGTATTATATCAGAACCATGAGTCATTCCAGGGTTATTCATTATATTTGTTCAATGAAAAACTTCAAAAAAACATGACATAAACTATGTACTAGAAAATTTAAAAGGTGACTCTGGTGACAAGAATCAATTAAAAATGTGGTATCATGAATTTAATGCTATCTATCAGGATATAATCAAACAGTATCTTAAGCGGTGTGACTGTGGCTGTGGGGTGTGGATGTGGATGTGGAGTGCGGGTGTAGGCGTTTGGGTGTGGGGTGTGGATGTGAGTTATAATAAAATAACATTCACACTCACACTCCATACCCACACCCACACCCACACTCACACTCTTATTGTTTCGATTTATACTATGAAAAAAATTCAAAAATAGAATATGACTCAATAGTATAACTAGTTACTTGCTCGTTCGATTGAAATAGAGTAGAGCTTTCAAAGTTTTAATATAGTAGTTATTGATAGCTACACGTGCAGATAGTGATACCGTATACTGAAGTTCTTCCCATTCATTCAATAAATATTAGTTTTTGACGATAAACTTGCAGAAAAAACAATTACATACAAGCTGCAATTCTCGATGATGGAAATGTATTTCGGTTTTTTGAGACATTTACTCTCGTTTTTCAAGAATTCTTTGGCAAGTCTTGTGCTTTTCATTAGACTATTTAGAATTGGCAAAGATGGTATCGGAAAGACCATGAACGATTGTGCTAGTAATCAGAATGTCAGGCTCACTTGACGTCACGATCTGGAGATAACCAACAGGATACTCTTGAAATATTTCAGGTATAGTTGTGGTAAGTATACGACAGTGGTGTATATGTGTTTACTAAGTAATTACTTCAACCCACATACACATAGCAAACATTAGTTTGATAGGATCGAAGTGATTTACGAGACGTTTAACACTGACCATTCATTGGTTAGTAAAATAGATTTCAACGTAATTCAGCTTGAAAAAAGCAGTAAAAGACAAGGCTTTATATCACATAGTCATTGATTTTTTTAGAATATTCATTGACTGAACTGACAGCTTGATCCAATTATTTCTCAACCAGAGAAGCTTCTAACAAGTAATGTCCAAGAAATTTTAATATATTGCAGTTTTGTTCAAGAAACGAAAAACATACACATTGCAAAGTAATTTACTTTTCTTTGATCGCTGCTGAAAAATAACCTCACTTCATCATGCCATTTTTTCTTCTACTTATTAGCTTATCCTTGAATCAATGTTTGAATAGGACTGATTTCAGTGAGACTTACACTGAAAACATAAGTAAAAACAGCTAAGAAAACATTTATGCACATGACTTAACAATCGAGGGTCTTGCTTGCTGTACCTTGAGTATCAACAGATTATGTCAGTGTAGTATTTGTCATCCTTCTTCATGCCTTCACATTACCAAATATTCAAAAACGAATCGTGACATTTATCTTGAATCGCTCTATAAATACAATTCTTTTTTTTGCCTGCTACCATCAGTTTTTCGATACGACGAATAACAACAGCAGTCAGAATACATACGAGATTTTTCAAAATCTTATATCAGTTTTCATACACTTAAAAAAAGATCGTTTTATTATTGACCCAAAAAACAGTTTAGCAAGCAGGCCAGCAAAAATAGAATCTCCCCTGGTACATGGAATGAACCATTACTATGGAATCTTTTTAGGTTACGAAGACAACAAAAAGGTTTAGTGGAAAAATAAGAAACCCCTAGAGGTTTA